AAAATTACCAATAAACTTACTTCACTTAACTGGGGGAGAAGCTGCGTAATGTACTCATTAACTCCGTTTAAATAAGACTGCATTTGCTTATTTAAAGTTTCAAGATCAATTACTAATTGAGCATATTTTGTCTGGAACAATAATTAGAGTTAGCAAGAATTTCTCAAACATTGATGATTAAAAAAAAATGCTGTGTCACACAACAAAAAGTGTATAAAAGTAAAGCTGCAAGCAATTATTCTCAAATCAAGAACTTTAGATTTTTTCCGTCACGTAAACCCAAGAAAAACAAAAAATTAGTAGAAACCTGGAATGTAGCAGGATACGAATTAGAAAAAAGATTCGTTTTCTCAGCCTCATCATTTAAGTCAGTCAGCTGTTTCACAAAGCCTCTCTTTAATTCAATAAGCTTAGCCAGTTTCACCAATATCACTAACATCCTCACAGGAAAGTTTCCGACCTTTTCATCTCTTGCTGAAGAAATAATAGTACTTGACTGAATAGGGAGGAAAATTTTCATTGCAGTAATGTCGTTTAAAACAACAATGTAGTTTCAAAAGAGCAGGGTCGGTACCGTCAGAGAATTAAGAAAATGCGCAACGGTAAACAATCAAAACTCCACCGTTTACAGGCAACCTTCGTGGAATTCCTAATTTTGAGTAAGACATAGAATCATGTCTGCCAAATGGTAACCTACTGTCACCAAAACGAGAGGACATTAACTGCTGAGCAGAACCCAATTTTATAAGTGATGAAGGCATAGACGCTCGATTTTGCTCCAGAAAATAAGTCAGGGATAAAAGTTCGACCTAAATTACAGGAGGCTAGAAAGTTGCTGGTTGCAGCTACTTAATCATATCTCAAAATTAAAACAGTTACCCGCTGTTCAGACATAACTTCTGAATCTTTAATAATCTGTGGTGGGATCATTTCTTCCTTGTCAAAAACGACACGATAAGAATCTGGAAGCACAGCATCGATAGTTCCAGCATAAATACCATCCTTAGGTTGCCGCACACGAGCATAAATTTTTGCTCCAACAACAAGTGGCCTTGGTAAACGTAGAGGCAAATCAAGAGAATCAGAAGATAAACTCATAACAGTCCCCTCGTATATCTGCCGCACCTTAGCACTGCAACACAAAGTGCAGATTTACTGGAAAAAAAATTGACATAGGTTCTAAATAAGACAAATGAAGTTAATCCCTGTGGCGGCCACATCACGTCAAACACCCTGAAATAACATCTATTCATATCGAAATTCTAGCTGAAGAGAGTCATAACAAGAATTACCGCTTGGCCTCAAGGGCTGCACGTTCCTCATTCAAAAAAGCTTGGGAGCAACGACGAGGCTTCCCTATGAGGCGTCGAATAGCACGCCATTCAGGCCTACGTAGGTTGCGACAACGAAGATTCGGGAAGGATTCACGAAGCAGCTGTGAAAATTCATTGTCGCCAAGAAAGAGCTGTTGATCAACTTCAGAATAAAAGAATTCGCAATAAACCCAACGTCGAGCCTAGAAGCAAAAATCGTAAATGACATCAAAGTAAATGAAAGCAAACTGAGGAAAAAAACTATAATAATTTACCTTCGGAAGTTTTAAAACATTCTTTAAACGACGCAAGTTGTCTTTAATAGTATGAGAAAGATCGGCCTGCCCTGGGCGAGGTCTTCCAGGTAATCGTCGAGACGGAGCTTGTCCTGACGATGCTTCACTTGACGCTCTAGTAGAAAAGGCATCTTGCGTACTCTGAAAACCCATTCTCATTTTTAAAGTAATCCAAACAAACCAAATAAATATCTATAGAAAAATTATATAAAAGTAATCAAAAACATGGAATAAAAAGCTCAGAATTTTCCAGTAGAAGAACTGTTTACCGTATGAGGCTGCACTGACACAGTTCGGGAGTCTGACTTTGAGGTTGTTCGAGTTCCAAGAGTGCCAGAAGCATTACTGCTCAAATCATCGTCCATTTGAACCACAGTCCTTGGTGATGCACCATTACTACTAGTTGTCCGAGCACGCTTAGAAGGCGTCACTTGTTCTGGAACTGGGGTTTGCTTCGCACGGGGCCTGAACAAAAGTTAGAAAAATGGCGACTAAACTTTAAATCGACCAGTTAACTGAAAATACAGTGCTGAAAAGTTTTGAAAAAAGTGACATCGCACCCTAAAAGTGGAAGGAATTTTGAAAATAAATTGACGCGACTAATAAGAACAGACTTACTTTTTCTGCTTAAAAGAACTGTTTTTCGACTCCTTCAAGTTATCCTCATCAACGTAGTCTCGGTAACGAGATGGGGGCTTGGAATGGTCACGGAGCCGATAAGGGCTCTCGTTGGTTCCGGCTTCTCGCATAGCCTTTTTCTCAGCTTCCGAAGACTTTTTTTCACTCATTCAAGCAGAAATCACAGCATGCAAACCACAGTTTTTTCACTGAATTCAAAAAAACAGGTTAGATCTCTGGCTAGAAAAGCTAACATGATATCAAGCATAAAATACGGAAAATATTAACCACGAATTGTTTATCAATCAATGGTCCAAGTCAAAGGAACAATAAAAAAAGAAAGAAAGCGATCGGCAACGACCATCGAGTGCTGTACCGATATTTCTTGCTTATTTTGTCCAAAACTTGCCGAGAACGTAGAGTGAAACCCCAAAACCCTTATCTTCAGTGTTAACTGCTTTAGCTTTTTCTTATAGAACAAGATTCCGTCTAAAAGTCAATAATTTCTTCAAAAGTGGCTTACTTTGCCTTAAAGAAACCTCCTTACTCCTGCCTTTTTTTTTAAATAAAAATATCATAGCAACACAAACAATAAAGACTACCGGCAGAAATTTATACAAAAATTTTCACTGCATTGCAATTAAGGGCACGAATATCACTTCCCCTCAACAAAAAAAAAAAGCAAAAACAAAAAAACACTTGTGGATTTACAGCTATTACTTGTTTATCCAAACACTTACAACATGTTAATTGTTAAGTAGACTTTTTATCTTCGGACCATTTTTATTTTTTATTGTGATTACAACTGCTCATCTAGTACCAAGTTTAGCCTTTCTTCCTTACTCTTGCTTACATCATAGTAATTCCTCTCTGCACTTCTACATTACAAATTAACACCACTAAACTGTACTAGCTGTTCGGCCGATGTCTACATTAAATCATCGCAACAAAAAAAAAGAGGAACCGCAGCACACAGATCTGTTTCAAAAATTCAAAATTTAAATTTAGAATCAAAGACTGGACGCGCCAAGTTCAAACTACACTCAGCCAATGGATTAACGCGTTCTGTGCGAGCAAACAGTCCACTCGATCAATCAGCGTATTGACACTGATTGCCACTTTCGGTACAAATTCAAACAGTTGGCAACCTGCCAGTGTTGCCTAAAGGAAGCTTCGTCTCCGCCCCGGAGAAGTTGCTGTCAGTACAGGCAATTCAGAGCTTTAGAACAGTTCTGTGCGTTAAGTACCATATTTAGGTGCAGGAAGTTTTCGAGCATTGGATATTTAAAAGAACTTTCTGTTAGCTTATTTGAAGCTTTATGCAGTTTTATCGATTGGTTGGAACTCATCGCGACTTGGTTGTTTTATACAGACCTACAGACTGCGAGTTTTTTTTTTTAAAAAGAGAAATTTGTTTTTCATTTTCCAGATAGCATTCGATTATGTAATTTTTCTCTTCTTTGCTTAGCATTCCAGCTCCTATAGCAAAGTAGGCAGTTGTTTGACATTTTTGTGCTTTTAGTTTCCTTCTTTTTTGCCATTGTGTGTAGGGGAAATGATGGAAAGGGAAGGACTGTGCAAAAGGGAAGGACGCGTCTGAGATAAGTGCAGTTGATGAGAATGGCTTTTCAAGGTGTGGTAACTGAAATGAGTTTATGTTTAACAGCCTGTGTTTACTTCGCAGTTTAGTCAAATCATGTAAGAAACATGAAAGCATAGTTACTCAAAAAGGCTTTTTGATTTAAAAAATTATACGCATATCTTAAGAACCACTAGTCGTACAGAAAACTCGAGTTTGCTAAATCACCAAATGACTTTTGTTCTTTTTTAATTTAGTGTGGTGGTATTTGATTAACGCAGCATTACTGAAGAGACACTAAACGTTCCGAAGTTTCATGGAAATGCTTCGCGAATTTGAACATATGAAGCAACTCTTCGGTCTTTTAAAAACCAGTTCGGCAGAGAATAGAACCACCCTTCTTTTCAATCCAAATGACACTTGCCGGTTTATTTAGTCTTTTAAAAACCATTAAAGGCGCAAAATTTGTAAGTGACCAGTTGTTGGACCCAGCTTATTTTAAGAAGCACAAACCTTACAGGCCC